TTCAATTTTCTAGCGGAAAGAGGCAAAAGTTTTGGTTTTTTTGGTTATTTTTTCTGTGGTGGATTGGTGGCTTTGGTTGGTTGGTTGATCTGTTTGTTGGGTTTTGTTGAATTTTTGTTTTTGATTTCTCTTTTGGTTTTGATTTTTGGGTTTATGGGGTTTTTGTTTGTTTAGTTTTTAAGCAAAATGGAGGGAAGAGAGTTAAATGTTTTTTTTTCTTGTTCTTTTTTAAGTCTTTGGATATTTATCTATGGTGGCTTAATTAGTTAACTGATCTGTTGTGTTTTTTTTTATTTCGATTATTCCTCTTATGGTTTTGACTTCTGGGTTTATGATGTTTTTTTGGTATGTTTGATTCTTGAGAAAAAAATTGAGGAAAGGAGCCTTTTTTTTTTTATGATTTTATCTGTCACTGCCTAATTGATCAATTTATCCGTGTAATTGAGTTTTTGGATTTCTGTTGTGGTTTTGGTTTATGGGTTGAAGGGTTTTGGCTTCTGGGTTTGTTGCTGAGGGAAAATAATGGAGAGGGTGGATGCATGTGTGTGGATTGATGATTTCTCTGAGGTAGCTTGTTGGTTGATTTATCTGTTTGTTGGATTTTTGAAGGTGTATGTGCCTCCACATCCGTTGATCAAGCACTGGGTTTCAGTTCTTCGGAACGAGCAAACTCCTTGTCCCATCTTCAGTGAGTGACAAAATTTCTAGTTTTGAGTAATATTCTGTAATATGAGTTGAACCTTGACATGATTCTATTTGTTGCAATCCATGTAATCTCTTTAGTTAACTTAATAGCTACTTTTAATGGTTAACGGTATTAATATAGCTTCTTGATGAAAGCACGGTGCTAGTGGTGTTGTTTTGTAACTGTCATTTAGTCTTTTGAGTTGACCGTGTTTTGGCAAACCTTGTTGCAAAGTGTGATTGATAGTTTTTGAAATTTCATTGTTCACATTTGTGGAGGGCATTCTTATATGCTAATCTGTTATTACTGGTTATTGGCATAAATGAAAATTGTGCCATTAAGTATGATGGGAACCTGGATTTGTACAACTTAATTTGACTACCTTGGTCTTTGCTCAAAAGAAAGTGAGTCTTAAGCAGGATAGGCTAGTTAGCTGCATCATCAATTTTTGCATTTATTGAAATATGCAACTTCAAAAGGTATGGCTATGTTTGGAAAATAGTTTGCAAGATTGCAAATGGAAAAACAGACATTCCAAAGCATTAATTTGGAAGTAACATTTTTTTTTTGTCTTATCCGTTTAATGTGATTTTATAGGTTTCTAACTTGAAACCAAACACACATTTTTGTTTGTTTTTTATTGTCAGTTGATATGTTTTCACTATGAATTACAAAATGTCTTATTTATTTTCATTGTTGCCTTTTTTTAGAATTTACAGAGGACTTAAAATGGAAAATTGATAAAATCTTGTTTTTCTCATTGGCTTTGCAATTTTTTTGAAACAAGAAAGTGAAAACCATTTGGCATTTTAGAGGGAACATATCAACTAAAATGAAAACAGAAAACATGCCAAATGCACAGGAAGTTTCCCAACATCCCTTCATTCTGTTTTTTTTCCCAATCCATTGTTTAACTAAACTCTTGTGATACTTGGATTGAAATTTCTAGATTAATTATTTAAATGTTGAACTGACTCTTTAGTTTTCTAATGTTGTAGGAAATGCAATGGCTGAGCTGGGAAGGCTACTCATGTATGAAGCTTCAAGGGATTGGTTGGTTAGTTTCTATTTCATAGTTCATATCTGTTAAAAATAGTCTTTTAATATCTGTTGTATGGCTTTGTAAAAGCTTGCTTTTGTTGCATCTTGATGATGAACTAGTGACATAGGCTGTAGCCTTTTTCTTTGTTTGTACCTTTCTTTTCAGACTTCATATATATAAATATATACATCAGTGGAGTAAGTGATACACGCTGATTTTCCCTGAAAACAAAATTCTCAATAGTCAAGTATATCCCTGCCATAATTCTCATGATTTTCTTGTTCCTACAATATAATTTGATGTTGTTACATCTAAGGCAGTTTGATTCCTAGATAATTTATGAACTTGTCACTGATTAATGGTGGAAAGATCTGATGTTATTTTTGGTTCCCATCTGATAATTTTGTCTACCCCCCATTGTCACACTACTTATGCTCTGGAATTTACATTTTTTCTCTTTTCTGCTTTGCTTTCAATTTTCTAGCCCACTGTTTCTGGAGAGATTCAATCACCAATGGGTGTAGCCTCTGTGGAATTCATTGATCCAAGGGAGCCTGTGGCTGTAAGTAGCATATCACTTTCAATATGTTTGATTAGAGTAAAGTATTTGCAGGAGTTCTTCTGGCCTTATGATTACATATTACATGAGTTTATTTTACATGTACTTAATTGTGAACATTTTAGCAATTTAATTTCTTTTTCAAAACCATGCTCATGTTATGGGTATTCCTTGATGATGTTAACATTGGTCACTGTTGCTCAAACCTAAGTCCTTTGAGCATGTCTGGATGCAAGCTTAGAAAAACTTTTGAGAGCTTTTATACCGGAAATAAATAGTTTTTTCTAGTAGAGAAACTCAGGAATTCTTCTAAACTTGTATCAAAACAAGTTTTTTGGGGTGTTAATGTTGTTGTTATGTTATGTATTGTCTTCCTGCAAGACATTGCCTGAATTATTTACTAGTTTTGCAGGTAATTCCAATCTTGAGAGCAGGTCTTGCTCTTGCTGAACATGCTTCATCGATCTTGCCTGCAACAAAAACATATCATCTTGGTAATGATACTTATACTAGCAGTTAATGAAAACAATGCGTTACTTTTTTTTCATTTTGTGATTTGGGTGCCTAGAATCGTGAACTGCACCCTACATAATTCATGCGGAAAAAGAAATCCTGTTTTTACATATTTGTATATAATTTTTTTACTGTTCATATTAATAAGACAACTGCTTGTTTAAAGACCGTAAATTCTGGGATTCACTTTCTTAAAGCTCGAGTTCGTTCCTTCTCTGTTTCTTAAATTGATTGATTTTATTTTTATGCTTCTTTCAATAAGGAATAAGCAGAGATGAGGAAACTCTTCAGCCAACTATATATTTGAACAAGTAAGAAATTTATATTTGCAAGAGAAATAGGCATTTTTGTCCATTATTTCTTTTCCTTTTCTCCTGATTCTAGCATGGCTTGTTGAAGATAGGAGTGAGTTTCATAAAGAGTTCCCCATTGCTTCTCTTGCTTTTGGGTTGTTCTACTGAATTATAGAGAATCTTTTCTTACATATTCCACCTATATTTGATTTCCAGGTTACCTGAGAAATTTCCAGAAGGATCTAAAGTTTTTGTGGTTGATCCTATGCTGGCTACAGGTATTTATAGTTTGTGTAATCTCATGAAACCTGAAGGAGTGTTTATGTAATTTACGTGTTAGATTATTATATTGCAATTAGTGATATACATGCTGCGTTGCACTTAAGGTATCAAATTGTTATTCCTTGTGTTATGAAGGAGGTGACTCCCTGGTGGGGGAAACCCTTAGCGGGGAACCTTATATTTGTACTCAAATCTGGCTCAAAAACCAGATTATTTGACTTTATGGACGTTTGGTACAAAATGATTAAAATTTATTTGGTTGCTCAAATATTTTTGGGAATGTTTATAAATGTTACCTGAGAATCAATTATTTTTACTGTATTAAATAAGTAAATAAAGGTAAAGTGACATTTTTACCGCATTTAAATTTATTTTAATTTAAAAATGTTGGTTTTCCATGGGAACGATTCTGTGGAAACTTATGAAAAAACCATTTCCAGGAAACATTTTTTAAATAACAAACCAAACATAGAAATTAACATTTCCAATTTCAGATTCTTGAAAAAATATGATCTTTCCGTGTACTAAACACTCCCTTAGTGTGTTGATATCTTGAGTCCAACAGAAGTAGACTAAAACCTTAGGCAAACTTTACCTGCAATGTCATGGGTTCAAATTTTGGAGTTGCTACTTTGGAGAAGACTTCACTTAACGGACCACCTCTGACCTGATGAATTAATCTCACAATATTATTATTATTTTGTATGAATTGCAGGTGGTACTATAGTGGCTGCCCTGCATCTTTTAAAGGAACGTGGAGTTGGCAACAAGCAGATTAAAGTGGTAAGGAAGGAATAATAAATTAATAATGTGTATATTCAGAAACTACTAGCTAGATTTCTTTTAATAATTAGAATTCTTTTAATTTTAAGGCTGATAACAACTACATAACTCAAGTTTCTTCTTTATGCATGATGCATGCTGCATGATGTGACATTCGGTATAAACATTTTCAATAGTGACCTAGTCTGAAACTAATGTTTTAAAAACCAAGTCATTGTAGTAATAAAAATATACTAATTTACAGTTCACTGATTCCACTATAGAGAAACTATAGTAGAACATGTAATAATTAAATATATCTTTATATCATATACTTCTAATGGACTAATAACATTGCAGATATCTGCTGTCTCTGCCCCTCCAGCTCTTCAGAAACTTAGCGAGCAGTTCCCTGGGTAAACCAAACACAAGTTCAAATTGCTTCACTTTCTTTCAAGCAATAGTTTCTAATTATATGACATTTTGCAGGCTTCATGTGTACACCGGAATAATTGATCCCGAAATAAATGAAAAAGGGTTGGTGCCCCCACAACATTATAATTTATTTGCGAGTAAATTATACTCACATTTCTTGAAACTGTGCTGATACACTTAACTTTTTCTATCCCTACAATAATCTCCCTTGATTATTTGAAAAATATTACAGTAATTTCCCTTAAACATTACACAAACTTCCTTACTTATTTAAAAAACATTACAATGACCTTTCTTTAAGGTAGTTTACTGTAAAAGGTTAAAAGAGAAAATGCATCAGTGCAATTTCATGAAACATTAGGGAGTGTCAGTATAATGTACTTTTCATTATTTATTGGTTTAATACATTATTTGATCCTTAAACTTTTTGAAAATTTTCAATTAGGTTCTTGAACTAAAAAAAATTGTAATTGAGTCTCTAGAGTTAGTAAAATTGTCACAAATTATTACTTTTGTGACAGTTTGAAACTGCTACAAATAAACTGTGGGACCCAATTATAAAAAATATAAAAGAGTAGGGACTTAATTACAAACTCTTAAAGTTACCTGATTAAAAAATTTCAAAAAGTTTAGGTATCAGTTGATATATTAAGCCTTGTTTATTTTGAGTTAGCTAATCTATAGAGTTGAAGCATTGTTAATGTATTTAATTTGTCTTCATAGGTTCATAATTCCTGGCCTTGGAGATGCTGGGGATCGCAGTTTTGGTACAGATACATGAAATACACCATCCTTTGGTGCCATATCTTTTAATTTTCAGCCCCAAAATTTGTCATTGTTTTTCTTATGGATGCTGAACTTCCAATATCATTTGATCAGTGGCAGCCTTCGGGGTTACATTTCATAGGTGTTGAACATTATTCTTATTCTTATTATATGAATTATTACTTAGGCATTGAAACTCTTGACTTCAAAATTGGCAATTATCTCAATTGAGTATGATGATAGTATCAATCTTTTTTATCATATAGAATTAATATAACTGATTGTTATATTAATTTACTTGATATACCTCGAGTCTGGTCATTGGTTCGTGACTTCATGCATTTGGCCAAGCTACTATATAGATTTGATGTTATTTTATTGTAAATATGATTACATTTCATATTATTAGGCTATGGAATTTTCTTATTTCTATTCTTAATTTTTTTAAGTGGCCTGTTATCATTTAATAGTGTGACAAGACACGTATATAAAATCTATCTATCTATTTATAATATAAAAGTCGAATTATTCTTTATTGCATCGACAGTTCAGTTTAAAATGTCTTAAAAATATTATCATGTCAACAAAATTGCCTACATGTCATTTTATAATGTATTTCTTATTATACTATATTTTCATAATTACAAACCTATATCTCTATAGTTACAAAGTCTAAATACTTGGAGCACCACCTATAGTTGCATAGCAGATCTGGAACTCTTCTATGACTGTTGCACTTTGGTACCTAATTGTCTCTCATCACCTACAAACTTCCTCCATCCCCCACCCCACTGATAGCAGCCCAAGTACAACTAAAGGAAGTGGAGAGAAACGGGCTAAAAGAAGCACTCAGAAGCCCAGTTGGCATAAAGATTAGGCAGATGATAAACACACACCCACTCTCGTATAAATACACCCCCTTTTTTTAAAAAAATATATAAAATATCTAAATTACCCTTTAAAAAAAATGAAATTCTTAAATTTACACATCCCTTCCCTGCACCCCCCTTTCCGCACCCCCCTTATCCTGTATCTGCATGTAAACTTTAGTCTGGAACGGCACTAGAATGGGCCGAACGCCCGTTCTGCTTTTAGAATGGCCCGTTCTGAAAGCAGTACGGACCGTTCTGCAAGCAGTACAGGCCGTTCTGAAAGCAGTACGGGCCGTACTGAAAGCAGTACGGGCCGTACTGCTTGCAGAATGGGCCGTTCTGGGGCCGTTCTGTTGCAGTACAGGCCACCGCGTCACTTTTAAAATGTCTACCATATGACTGATTTTAAAAGTCATTTTTGTACTAGTGTTTCTATAAAACAAGTAATAGTCTTTCTCTTACAAGACTACCTGCTGACATTGCGCACCCTCTTCTTTCTCTTTGTGGCACTCTTCTTCTTTTTTTCCCGCATCTCGCACACCCCTCTTCTTTCTCTTTCTGGCATTCCTCTTCTTCTTCTTCTTACTGTTACGGAAAGTTCTTTCCGGAATTATATAAAAATGTTCTAGAAAATACTTTCCATAATATTAAATTCTTATTCCGGAAAGTATTTTCCGAAAATGTTTTGTTACATAATTCCGGAAAGTATTTTCCATAATATTAAAGTTACTATTATGGAAAGTTCTTTCCGGAATTATATGAACAATAATTTTACTATTCCGGAAAGTACTTTCCGGAATGCTAATGACTGTAAAAGTACTTTCCGGAATGCTAATGATTGTAAAAGAGCCTTTCTTATGCTGGTTATGGTGGGGCTAGTCCTTTTTTTCTATTCAGAATGACTGTAAAAGTATATTACTTAATGACATTGAGCGGAAAGAAGCTTTGGGAAGAAGAGGGGTGTGGAGTGTGGGGTGCGGGGAAGGGGGGTGCGGGGAAGGGATGTGTAAATTTAGGAATTTCATTTTTTTTAAAAGGGTAATTTAGACATTTTATATTTTTTTTTTAAAAAGGAGGTGTATTTATACGAGAGTGGAGGTGTGTTTATCATCAGCTTAAAGATTGTTTTTTTTAATTAAACTAGTTGGCCCAATTTCTATCTTATAAGCCCAATTATGTTTAAGCATAGTTTAGTTTTTCTTTAAAAAAAAAAAAAGAGTTAGAATAGTTTTCTCAACTACTCAGGTCTTGGCTGGAGGGTGCTTGCTACCCTAGTTTCAAGTTTTATTTATTCTAACATGATGAAATGAAAAGGCAGCAGATTATTCCCCTTTTTTTTGGTAGCTTTAGTGTTGGGAGATTTGGTCTATCTCGAAGCTTGGGAAGAAAATATCAAAAATCCTAACAATTTTGGTGCTTTTATTTTCATCCATGCCTCCTCGGAAGGATGTGGACGAAACCTTGGCAGCCTTGGCCGACCGCATCACCACCTTACAACAGCAACAAGAGACCCGTTTTGACAACTTTCAATCCCTAATGGATGCCAGGTACGAATCCATCAATGATATCCTAGCCACTATCGTTGAAAAACTTGTTGCTATTCAACCTTCCTCTTCATCCACTATTGATACCAACCTTCCACCTCCCGCTACTAATCTCAACAACCCTGGACCTGAGGGTTCTACTCACCATAACCCACCTCCCTTTCCCTCTCTTACCCCAAACCCTTTTTCCACCCCTTTTACCCCTCCCCCCTTCACCACTATACCTCGTCAGCTTTCCCCACATAACCCTATTCATGCTTTTCGACCTCCTAAATTGCAACTTTCTCATTTTGACGGTTTTGAACCCCTTGATTGGCTACCAAGCAGAGCAATTTTTCTCTTACCATCAAATTCCCGTTGATTCTCGTTTTCCTATGGTTGCTTTTTACATGAAAGGCGATGCTCTTTCATGGTTTAAATGGATGCTCCATAACCAACAACTTTCTGATTGGCATGCTTTTGAGCGTGCTCTAGAGCTCCGATTTGGCCCCACAGGATATGAAAATTTTCAAGCTGAGCTTTTCAAATTACGCCAACATACCACTGTCACCGAATATCAACAAAGGTTTGAGAAAATTTCTAATAGGGTTTTTGGCCTTCCTCCTGATGCTATTGTTGACTGTTTTTATTCTGGCCTTCTACCTGAAATTCGACGTGAACTTGCTATCCTTAAACCCACCACCATTTCCCAAGCCATTGGTCTCTCAAAACTTATTGAAGCCAAGATTCGCGACTCCGAACCCCAAATTCCTCTTAACCACCTCCCACCTCTTCCACCCCCACCTGACACCACTACTTCACCCTTGCCCATTAAACGCCTTTCCCCTACTCAACTCCAAGAACGCAGAGCACAAGGTTTGTGCTTTAACTATGATGCAAAGTATCACCCTGGTCATAAATGCCAAACCCCAAAATTTCTCCTTCTTATGACTGATGACCCTCCCCCTGACACTAAAACCCTATCACTCACTCCATGCCCCCCCACCGACTCCCCTGATACAAAAACCCCACTTATCTCATTTGAAACGGGATGATGCACCTATTCAGGACTTTATGGACAAAGTCCTTGCAAATGGGCCCGGTATTGATAGCAGCCCAAGTACAACTAAAGGAAGTGGAGAGAAACGGGCTAAAAAAAGCACTCAGAAGCCCAGTTGGCATAAAGATTATGTTTTTTAATTAAACTAGTTGGCCCAATTTCTATCTTATAAGCCCAATTATGTTTCAGCATAGTTTAATTTTTCTTAAAAAAAAAAAGAGTTAGAATAGTTTTCTGAACTACTCAGGCCTTGGCTGGAGGGTGCTTGCTACCCTAGTTTCCAAGTTGTATTTATTCTAACATGATGAAATGAAAAGGCAGCAGATTATTCCCCTTTCTTTTGGTAGCTTTAGTGTTGGGAGATTTGGTCTATCTCGAAGCAAGACCTTGTTAGGAAGAAAATATCAAAAATCCTAACACCCGCCCCCAAAATTGCGATAGTTGCTCCTTTGTCGCAGCTATCATTCCTTGTCACCCCCCACCTATAGTTGCATAGTAGATCCATAACTCCACTACCTATGATTGTTGTACTTTGTCACCTAATTGTCTCTCACCACCTACTAACCTCCTTCATCCCCCATCTCCCAAAATTGCGACACTTGCTCCTTTGTCACATCAATTATCCTTTGTCACCTCCCCACCTCAAATGTGATTGATATTCAAGAAATTGAGAGTTGATATATAGGTACAAGGTAATTTTTTTTCTCTCATTATATTCTTAAATTGTTTTCTCTCATATCTTAACAAGCAAAACAATATTCTTATATTGTGAAATAAATTTTTTGAAATTTTATTTTGCTTGCCATATGAGCCTTTTTTTCTCACAATTTTTCACTGCATGTTTCATGAAATTTCAAAATTGAGAGTAAAAGTTATTTTTTCTGTTTTCTTTTCATTGTTCTAAAGAAAAATCAATTGGGATTGAATGTCAATGAATTATTAAAATTCCTATCAAACTTATTTTTTTATATTTTTGGTCAAAACATTTAAGTTTCATAATTATATATATATATATATATATATATCATTAAAATTACATAAATTTAGACACTACTAGAATTTCTCTTATTACATAAAAATTCGCAGGAAACGTTGTTCCTGCAAATTTTCCTGCGAAATTTTATCTGCAGGTAATACTTTCGTGGATAATATTTTTTTCCATAATAATAATTATTAAATAAATGATAATTAAAAATTATATTTAATTATTAATTATATATATTATTTATTTTATTAATTTTAAATTAAGGGACTAAATTTAATTAAAATATCAATTATAGAAAAATTATAAATAGCAAAAGAATATTAGAGCATCTCCAGTGGGAGATGTTTGTGCGTTTCTCTATGTTGCTTAAGAAAAAAAGAGGAAAAATAGGGGTGCTTATAAACAATTTCTATTGGAGCAAAATATAGTATAAATTGTTTATGAGTGACGTGACACAATGAGACTCATTTAAAGTGGTTATGAGTTACTAAGCAACTCACATTGTAGATGCTCTAAAAAACTATACATAGAAAAGAAAATGATATGTAATTATTGATTATTGATTATATTAATTTTTATACCAAAATTTTGATGATTGTTTCAATAAGTATGGAGTAAATAAGAGATTGAATTTAATTAAAATGTCATTTATAAAAAATAATTAATAATATGTAATTATTATTAATTATTAATAAAATAAATATCTATTTTTATTTATAAATTATAAGTTAGAAACAAAAATATTGTCACATTATTGTGATTTTTTTTTTGTACATTATAATATTTATTCAATTTTTATGATAAAAGAACTAATTATAACCTTCCATTTTAAATTTTAAAAAATTAAAAGATTTTATTAT